GAAATGGGACAAGGACACAAATACTACTTTAAGCTGTATCCATCAAGTCGCTTTGGTAAGTTAAATGGGTATTGCTATTAAGTTAATCATATCATGCGATGGTGGTACCAACTACCAAGTCAAACAAATGATTAAAAATAAAAACCCAGAAAACTTGTAAGATTTTATTTCATTTTTCACACGTTGTACACGTTACAAAGTAAATAATTCTTTAAAATTAAATGGACGATGCAAAAACAGCTCCACTCAACCTATTCGTACAAAACAAAAGGGTGGTAAAACTAAAATCGTGAGACAAAGGCTAATGGGGTCTAGCCTAGTGAAAAAATGTCTTGTTTTGTAGACTGGAGGTCTCAAGTTTGAACTCCTATGGTATCTTAGTTGTGCGTGTGTGTGAAAAATCATCATCCTTTTAAATTTAAATTATCGCTTGTACTATAAAAAAATTGTGCAACAAAGAGAGCAACATGTTCTTATTTCCAAGAGTTAATTTTCATGTCCTATTTTCAGCAAATCATGCCATCATGTAGCTCAATTATTTCATTTCTTTTGCCATTCACAGACAATGCATCGTAGCGTGTAGACTACACAAAAAGCCTCCAAATCGCTATTCAATTATGGGATCCTTGTGAAAATTGCTCACACTAGTTGCCTCTGTTTTTTTAGGGAAACCTACACCCCTAGGTCTCCTCCAAAATTGCCCTCTTATTCAATTATGATATAACTCATTTAGAAGCTTTTTGGACTTGTGCATGCAGCCAAATTATTTCTACCTAGTTAGATGTTTGTAGGATCAAATTATTGGGCACACCTAAAAAGAAATTTGTAACAGAAACAGAAAGGCAACTCTGCCTTTTTGGCAAATGAAATTGAAATCTACCCAAAATGCTAAGCTAGCTTCAGTCAATATTCAAGACTAAGAAACACTACAATTCAAATGAAATTGAAAAACCAACTCTGATACATACTGATAATATCCTACAATTTTTCTTTTCTAATTTTTGGAAACATTCAAATCAGCAAGGAATCAACAAAAGACTCCAGTTGACCATGATCTTGATCTGCCTTGATATCCTGCTCATATTCCTCACAGATTTTCCATGTCATAGCAACTCTTTCTGCAGCTGCAGCAGCTTCTTCAGAATTCTGATTCCTGGCAGGGTCAAACACTTGAACAAAGTCATAACAATCTTCAACATTCTCACCACAAACCAAGCCCTCCCCAAAACAATCATCGTCTTTCTTCTTCATATCATCAGGCCAAGACACATGAAAATAATTAGGAACTTCTGAATCATGAAACCCAACTTCTTGTTCATGATCTCCCTCTCCATCACAAAAAGACCAAACTGGGGTTTTAACTGGAGACACCCTAATAGGCTTTGGGAGATGAAGTTTGGTCCTTCTTGTTGTTGCACCAATATTTTCTTGGTCATCGTCACTTTTCTTGGCCTCCTCAGCTTGGACACATTTTGACTTTGGTTTTGGTGCAACTTCTTGAGTGCTGGTTTTTTGGATTCTGAGTCTTTTGGCGATGTGGGTGTTCCAGTAATTCTTGATCTCATTGTCAGTTCGACCAGGAAGCCTTCCAGCAATGAGAGACCAGCGGTTGCCGAGAAGGGCATGAAGCCTCACAATTAGGTCATCCTCCTCAGGAGTTATGTTGCCTCGCTTTATATCAGGCCGCAGATAGTTCATCCATCTTAGCCTGCAGCTCTTCCCACATCGAAGAAGCCCTTCATTTTCCAGACCAAAAATTTAAAGAAGAACAAAAAAAATAACCAAAATACCAATGGTTACAACACAATTTATAAGACCAAAATAGAAAGAAAGAAGAAACAAAGAAGCTGTTAGGCTAAGTTAATTAATTTCTTACCAGCTTTCATAGGCAAAGAACTCCAATGGCCTTCACCATGGGACTGGATGTACTGAATGAGTAATGCGTCTTCTCTGGCAGTCCATGAACCTCTATGCAGACCCACCTTTGAACAACAGGGTGCTCTGCCCATTTTATGGAGGACAAAGACTCTACTTCAGTCTAATCAAGACTCTCAACAGAGCACCACACCACCTTCTTTAGATTTTATACCATGAGCATTATTGTGAGATTGTAAACATTAATTCTAGAAATGCCACAAGTGCATTTTCAACATTTTTCTTTCTTATTTATATAAGGCTGGGTTTAAAAGAAAGGGATTCCAACTGTTAACCTAACTTTTTTTCATAATTTTCCTCACTAATCGGAGAATAATTTACATATAACGAATTCTCTATTTTCATATCTATGCATCTCTCACTGCGTGATTAATGAATTATTTGTACATGGAAATATTAATTTAGGTCATTTTTTATTATATTTTTCTTTGCAATCAAAACTTATACGTCACATAGGGTACATACTATACTAGACTTTCATTATCGCTTTATCCAATCCTATTATATGAATCACATTTGTCATGTATTTCATTCACATTTAATTCTTAGAAGATGTGTTACATGTGCTCCTCATGAAATTTTGTCACCATTTAAAAAGAAAAGCTTGTCACATAAGTTATACATTTTTCGTTTGCCCTCGTTTCTTTCCAGACATGCAGTGGGTCCATGCCATTGACATGCACATCCTTAACACCAAAGAGGATTTGCTTCATGATAAATAGGGTTCGTCGTCAAATTTATTCTCGAGTTGTATTTTGGTCTCTTAATTAAATTATTTATTTAAATAGCATACCAACTCTTTATTAATCGACCTATTAGTCATACTATTATATTATGTCAATATTACCGTTAATTTGATGATTAAAATGATCAATTTATACTAAAATATTAATTAATTAATTAAAATCTATATAAAATGCTATAAAAATCAGAAAACTAAAAACTGAAATGCCCAGTGGTTAAAAAAAAACCAAAAAATTAAAAATTAATGAAAATAAAAACCCACTTAGAACCCTCCCCCACGTCCATCTCTGCTGTAAGAGTTATATGGTAAAAAGTGAAACATGGAAGAAGTTGATTGTTGAAAATGAATCAAGAGGGAGGATCTGCTAATTGCTGGAGAGTCAACTGATCCGTGTGGCTTTGATCGAGGGTGAGTAATGAAGGCTTGATTGGAGGAAGTCATGTCTGGTCTAATATCTGCAACCCACCCGACAAAACAACAACAAAGTTAAAAATGACCCACGTGCGAGAGACGGTGGCTCCGACGAGGCAGACGGTGACGTAAGGATTGCTGGTGATGATATGGTGGTGAGAGTGGTGAGGCGTTCCAAGCGTAAAAGGCTTTAGGCACGCTGTGAGGATGGAGCCCTTCTCTAGAACAGAGGGAAAGTGGAGAAGAGAGAAGAGAGAGTATAGAGGGAGATAGGGCAGAGGGGAGAGAGGGAAAGGGGGAGACCAAGGGGAGGAGAGATGGCGCTGCAGGTTTTTTTGTTTTGTATTTTCTCTAAAAAACTTATTTTTATTTTTTAGCTATCAAAAGTCCTATTTAACCCTAAAAATGTAGCATGTGCTCCTCACATTATTTAATTTGACAGAAAATGTCAAGGTAGGACTAATTCGACGAATAATAAAGAGTTTGTGGACCATATGAACGAATAATTTAGTTGAGGGACTAAAATGCAACTCGGGTATAAGTTTGAGGACCATTTGAGTAAATAACTCTGATAAATAAATAAATAAATTATTTTTAAATATATAGGGCACACCATATAAAATATTTCAATGAATTAAATTATTCCACACCATATAAATATTTATTTATTTCAATTTGCCTCTTAATTTTAGAAGCAAATTGAAATAAATAAATTCTTGCAAATGGAAATGGATCTCTAACCTCTCACCAAACCAGACTGCTTCTCATTGAATACCACATCATTCTCACTTGCAGGCATATCTAAGGAGTTAGTAGCAGATCATAACCGTTGCAGCATGTGGTGCCCTACATTCCACACCATATTTATGCTTCTTAATGGATGCAAGATACCTTCTTTTAACTTTCTAAATAAAAATTATGATGTGCGTGGCAATTAATATACTCAAATCGCATCTAATGCAAACGCTTTGAGTTATTTGAAAACACTTTTAGTCTTATATTGAAACCGCTTTTAACCATTCTAAAAGCATCTTTCGCTGGCCTAAAAGCTCGAAATTTCATCAATAAGAGATGCTAGTTTGGTCTATAGTCCTCCCACCCCTTAGCTATGAGCTTTAAAAATTGCTCTCTCAACCTCCTAACGTACTGATATAGCAGCTCATCCCCATTTCTCATAATTATTCACAGTTTTGATATTCTGATATTCAATTAAGTCTTTCTGAAGCCTCTGTTTCCCCCATCATAATTAATGAGGGCTTATCTTTCTTAGCGCACCACCACCCTTAAAAGCCACAGATTCTACAGCAAAGAGAAGGAAGTTGATTAAAAGCCACAGATTCTACTGCAAAGAGAAGGAAGTTGAAGGGAGAGCATTTAGCTGAGACTGAAGAGCAACCACCCAAACCACCCAAAATTTAATTTCATTAATGAAATGTCAAGAAGACATACAATAATATTTCCGAGTGCAAAGATTTCAGAACAGAAGATGCCCCACAGACACCTGTATTATACACACTTGTCAACACATTATATACACATCTCCTAATCTAGGGGATTAACTGCCTGCCACATAAAACTCAGTATAATTTCTGAGCTGAAAAACCAACAAATTAAAGAATCATATAAATTTTACTTGTATAAGATGATCCAATACAAAACTTAAAAGCAATTCCACCAGCCGCTTGTGGACACCTGGTGGGACTGCAGGTGAATTGGATAACTGTTGCCACCTGGCATGACCTGACTGGACTATAATACATTTGGTAATCTTCAAGGGTGCAAACTAGGCAAACTGTCAATGATACTGCATTGTACAGGCACCAAGAATTATTTAACCAAGACCAACCAATACCAGCGGTGATTGCAAGGATGCATGATCACTGTCCAAAAAATGCCGTCTTTGGCGATTTTAACGACGAATAGGTGTACCGTAATTGTGGTAGGTTCTAATATGTCCGTCCCAGCCGGCAGTGACGATCACAAGGCCCCACGAATTAGGACCAGACATGCTCTGACAAGCACTCTTCAAAAATTTGTAGTCGGATCTACACATTGTTGGGGAGACGGCCACCGGACTTGAATTTACAAGTTTCTCCTCAGGCCAAGTTGCAGTGCCCTTTTGCAAGGCCTCCAACAAAAACCCACGACCCAAAGAGAAGCAATCGGGTGAAGAGAGGTGCATTTTCTGTTCTACTTTCTCATCGAAACTGAGATGCTTCGGCTGATTATCAAGGCTACTTCCCTGCATGTCCCCAGTGAATCTAGGGGATGGAAGTGTTCCTGGAATGCTGTTCTCACCATTCCAAGGTATAGCAATCATTGAGTTGTGGGACACAAAACTCTCACAAGACCATATGTTCCTCGGTCGTGAAGAGGTCATGTCCTGGCTATTATAGTTCCAGATGTGAACATTTGAATCCTCGCTTGCTGAGACGATGTGCGTTCCGTCTGAGGTAAAAGATGCTAACATATGGTTTCCACCATTTCGAAGACCTAATGAGAATTGATAAAAACAATCAATGATGGAATCGAAGGAGACTTTGGGGGTGGGGAATACAATAACTTTATAAAAGCAGAAGAGATGACACATACCCCTAAATTTGCAGACGACATCAACCCCATAAATTACACGGACTACTGAATCAGCAGAAGTCACCATAACTTGGCTTGGGTTGCTTGGAGAAAACTGAGGAATCATATTATATTAGTATACTGCAGTAAAGTAAAGAAGTGAAAATGGAAGAAATAACATAACCAATTGTCCATAACCACCTGAAAGCCAGTTATCCGTTTTCCAGGTGACTTCTTCTTGCCCTGTATGCTTATCGGAGCATCCAACTCCAGATGATTATCTGAAAAAATTGAAACCATGATCATGAACTACTCAGATAGAATAAGAAAAAACAATAATACAAGCCTTAGCAGCCCATGGGTAGATCTCGCCTGTACAAAATTGGCTTGCAAGAGAAGGATGCTAAGAGCTCAAACACTAAATCAGAAAGTTGCATATAATGATCTAACATTAGACATTTTGAAATATCAGGCCAGACTAAAAATAAAAATAAAAACATATATATATATATATATATATATCATGTAATAACATATCAAGAAAATCATTTCATGTTAACAGAATTTGCAGGGAAGATAAGGAGATACTAAAGCATTTAATTATCAGGACTTCCCAATTTACTATTATGCTTCACAAATCTGGTTTTAATTAGAAGCGCCATAGTAGCATGCTATTAAGAAAATTTCACCACTAGGTCTTCATACCTATGATGTTATAAAAACAGCAGTTTCCAGTCACAAAACCAACGATTCCTCCCTGCAAATATAAAATAACAAAGTCATATAAACAAAACCAATTTGTTTCATGCTTAATTTTTCATTGTCCAGCAAAAAAATTCCAACAGACCTTTCCATCAGGACGATAAGATACAGCAGTGACTATCTCACGAACATCAATATAATCAACAACCAGACAACGAATAACTTCCCAGATGCGAACTTTTCCATCTATTGAACCGCTGATGAAGTAATTATCATCCAGAGGGTTGAAATTAACGCATGTCACTGCATCAAGTATCACAGCTTTAGATAATCATTGCAGAACTACTTGAAAATGAGAGAGAATTGAGAACGTAACACTATAGAGAACCAGCATAAACCAAGTTATCGATTCACTACATTATTAAAGAACGCAAACAAGTAGCAAGGCTCACCATAATTATTGTGAGAGAAAACTCTCAGGCATCTGTCACATCCTACTTGCCATAGACGAACTGTCTTATCAACAGAGGATGAGAGCAGAAACTGCAGCACACACAAAGAAGACAAAGAGACAATTAGTTTCACCAAGTTCAGTAGATTAAAACAAACTCTGGGGCAAAGAAAAATTGCAACAGGGAATAACACCCAATACTAACCCCTTTCTTTGACCATGAGAGATCTAAGACCTCCCTGCTGTGTCCCCGAAACTCATGAACAGGCTTCTCCAATAAACGGAATATCTTTGGAGGAAAAATGACACATGTTGAGTCCGATGATCTCAATCTCTGCGCCTTATCTTTATCCACATTTGGAGAGTCTAACTTAGAAAACGGATTTGTTTTGAAGTATAAAGAAGAAGGATCACCAGAAATATCAAATTTGTTGAATCCCTCATCCTCGATCACCTTCCACACACGCACGACACCATCTTCACCAGCACTTGCCAAGTATTTCCCATCAAGACTGAACTTCATAGACGAAATTGTACCTTCATGAGCAGGAAAATCTTGCCCCGCATAAAGTGAAGACAGTTCTTTGGTCCGTTTTTTACTTGGATAAACTCGGACTCTTCGCATACCTGTTCCTGAAGCAGATTTACGACTGATGGGGCTCAATGCAGCCTCATGTTTATCAACAGCGCACATCCCAATTCCTAATTTCCTTAACCATCCCCTTTTAACTTTCTTTTTCGCATCAAGAAAGAACCTAGCATTATCAACTTCTCTCTGCAACAATTGCTGAATTGAAGGAGATGGTGCTGGTGCATGGTTTGTATGAATCTCCTCAACACTAACCAATTGATTTAGTCCCACTTGACCTAATCTGCAAAGCCTTCCATCCTGACCCAATTCATTCACAATGATATCCATTCTCTGATTTAAAGTCCTCACTGCACATCGAAAATTCTCATCCAAAGCACCATTTCCTAGTGACTCCCGAGCTTCATTTGACAGAGCAGATGCTGTGGACTGACTTGAGCAAGACACCTCTTCCAATCCCGACGTTCTCAACACCACACAGCTATCTTCTTTTATTCTATCAATACTCATTTCAATTTTTTCAGCACAGTCATCTCCTGCTTCTTCTTCCATGATTAAATTCCGATCCAAATCTAAACCCATCCACTGCAGGAACTTATGGCGGCGCTCATGAACACTATCAAGGTTCTTAGCCCAAACCTCATCATACCTCAAGAAACCTGAAGTACTAGAACTAAATTCATCACAACCATCTGAACCCCAATCCGAAACAGAAGACAGGTCCTCACGGGTATCATAAAATTGATCCTCACGCTCTTCACTATAACTCCCCATCAATTCACTGTTTTTCCCTCTTTGTTTTCAACCCATGAGATCCTGAGTCAAAAACTAAAAACAATGAGAAATTTCAATTTTGTTCTAACCTCACAATTAGATAACAAAAAAAGACTAATCTTTTTCCTTATCCACAACCTCAAATCTCAAATTTTCTATTGACAATCAAATCCACAAACTGCGAACAAACAACCCCCCAACACAGATCCTGAAATGATCCTATCTTCAGTCCAAACATATGATTTTCTCACAAAACGCAAACCCAAATCAGAAAAAAAGAACGAAGGAAGCCAAACCCAACAGATTGTTTCCAAAACCAAATGAAAATCACAATAAAAAAAGGTAGAGTTTTGCTCACCTGGGTCACCACCAAACTTCGGTCAAACCCGAGAAATCTAATCCCTCATAGGGATTTTCACTTTCTCAACCCCTTCCAATTTCCCTTTCTCTGTCATCAGCAAAAGTTCCCACTTGAGGAAGCAAAGAATACTCACAACATGAACCTTTAAACAAATGAAATAAACTAATAAACTAAAACAAACATAAAATAATAGACAAAACAGAGAAAAGGGCAAAAATTTGCCTCGGTTTGTGCGCCAGTACCAAGAAGAGAAGAGAAGAAGAGAGTGGAAGGGGCTCCTTGTTTGCGTTGTGTTGTGTGTCTTTTTTCTCTATCTTCCTCGCACATCCACACTGTCTGATTCAATTTGATTGGTACGGTACGGATCCCCCAAACCTTTGTAAAACTGTGGTCTTTGTTTTACTTAGTTTTAACTCTTTGAGTGCCCTTTTTCCAATGACCACGGTTCTGTTTTTTTATTGTTTTATTTTTAACCAAATTCTGGGATTGGATTTGGATTTGGGTCTTGGGTTTTAGTTCTGGTTTTTACTAATGACGTCTTTTTCCCTCCAATTATTACAGCATGAGGAGGAGTGTCTGCACCTTTCATATTTTCGTTTTCTTTTACTTTTTCCAGAATCTTTAATTGGAAAAAAAACAAAAAAAGTGGAAATGATTTTTCAATAACTTTGAATTATTTTAAAAATAAAATAGAGCTATTCATATAGCAAAGTTAGGTAAACAATTATCTGCGCGATTGTCCTTGAAGCCTCTAAGAACTTTGTTAATTCAAATTTTCAACCGTCCAAATGTTGAAATGAACGACACCGTACTATTGTTTAATGTTTAAACTTACTAAAGCAATCAACAATTATCCCTTCCCTTAAAATAAATTATGTACGACGACGTCGGTGCATATGTTAAATTATGTATATAATAATTATCTAACTAGTTATGTAATGAGAGCTCCAACAAGTACATAAATCATCTTTATTATTCACCAATATTATGTAGGTGGGAAGGCGTGAGAATGAATAAGGGAAAAGGGTTAAATACCTTTTTGGTTATCGAGTTTTACATGAAAATTCAATTTGGTCATTGAGAAAAAAATTTAGTCAAATTGGTCACTGTGTTATCCAAAATTTACAATTTATTCAATTATTTTTCGTTGAATGCAGTTTTTATTTTTTATTTTTAGGAAGTACATTCAATCTTCTTCTTCTTCTAACTCAGTCTTCTTCCCAATATATCCTAACTTGTTGAGTTAGAGGAAGAAGACTATAAAAATAACAATAAAAACTGCACTTAATGGAAGATTACGGAATGTTTATAAATTGTAAACTTTGGAAAACACAATGACTAATTTGACTACAAAATTTCTCAGTGACTAAATTAAATTTTCGTGTCAAACCCAATGATAAAAATAGTGTTCAACCCTTTTTATTAAAAAAATTTAACAAAAGGTGGAGTTGACAAACCCGGATTAGTAAAAAGGAGCTCATTCTCGCGTCCCACGTGTCAACACCCCCTATTGACTACGAAGTCTTCGTCGTCATTTTTGAAACTGAAACTTCTTCTTCTAGCAACGGGCCCACTTTGAAAGGTCAAGTTCTCGTGAAGTTGAAGCAAATTAGGTTAACAGTTAGCTAAAAAAAAAAAATTGTTGTTATTTCATGTTTCCAATAGTTTTTATTTTTTAAGCAATGAACTTTGTCACCAAAAAATAATTAAACAAATGTATGAGCATGACCGGCCACTTCCATCCAAAACCAATAATAAAGAGGCAGACAACAATGATTTCTTAATAAAGTTATTTTGTTATTTTTCTTTTGTAAATATTATGAGATGTCCCCACACTCAAAAGATGGGATTAATTCCCACTCAGAATTTGGCTTGTCTCTAACCACAACATACTTCCAACGGGTTTTGAACCCGTCCTATTAAGGCACTAGATAGCTCACCAGTTGGAGGTGGTAGTTTACCAACCACACCATACCTTGTGGTTAAGTTATTTTGTTACTTTGGTTTTAGGTAAAATTACTTTTTTAAAAATTTACACAAAAACATACAAAAAAGAAATATGGAGTAATTATTATACATTTGTTTTAGTTTCTGTTTTTTTTTATTCTTTTGTCAAACTTGTTGTGTGGGTTTGAAGCAGTCAAACACATGCTATGCGACCTTTTGAACCTTTGATTCTTTCCAAATGAGAAATATTTATAATAATAATAATAATAATAATAATAATCAATGCCATTTGAACAAGCGCCAATCCCCTCTCAACCTTCGTTTAAGATGATCTCAATTAATTTCTTAGGCAGCCTCACTTTATGAATGTTATCAATTTCATTATTTTGTGTGTATGATAACACTCTGAAAAAAAATTGAAAATCAAGGCCCTTTTGAATCCCAAACTTTTCTTAGAGTTGTGTTTCGTAATTAGCTCCATTTTCCCTTTGATGCGGGAATGATTTTGTGGACGGTACAATGGAAGACAGTGACACAACAAATACAATCTTCCCTCTCCAATTCTAATGGCCCAGAAAAGAAATAACCCATAGGCTCATAGGTTGCAAAACATTAATGCAGGCCCTGGCCCTGTTGTACACTAAGCTGGCTTAGCAGTCCTGGGCCTTTTCTACAACATTTTTTCTTTCTTTCATAAATACTACATTATTGATCATATCTCGACAATAGTTGGAGCCTCAACAACACGTTTGAGTTCCACTTTTGCGGAAGATATGATCGGCAATGTAATCAATAAAATGTTAGAAGTAATTTAAAAATTAAAATTAGAGTACATTGGCAGACTTCACAAGGCCTTTCGAACTATGGAGAAGATGCAATTGGGTCAAGCTAGAATTCATTTTCCAAGTTGCCAGAGGCCCAAGAAAATAAAGCTAAGAAAGAACCAAATCAAATACACTAAAGATCATAAGGGTTAAGCCAGTGAGGTATAGGTCAGTTCATTGAGCTCTTCCATCTCCATCTATGTGAGCAAAGGTTCGAAACCTCAGACACCCAATGAATATTTTGCGTAAACCCACCTCTCCCTTGTAATAATAATAATAATAATAATAATAATAAATCATTAGGGTTAAGATTGAGAAATTGTAAAGTTTCATAACAATAATGAAAACCGACAAACACGAAATTACAGTAATACAGACACACAAGGCTTTTTTCAATGTAACGACGTCCCCTTAAACCCCAAAGAAGAAGAAAGCCGAAAGCTTACAGAAAAATCAGCAGCCACAAAAAGGATGTGTGGTCCAAAAGTAGCACTTCTCTGCGCCCTATTTAGGGAGACTATGGGGTTCCATTCTTGGAGGCTTTTTAGGTTTAGTGCGGTGGTGAGGCCCTCCTGTACACACACACACACACTAGAAGACATTAGACACCAACCAATTAAGTGGGGGATGGTTTAAAAAATACTTGATTTTGTGACCCTTCAATCTTTCATATGGTTGCAATGTCTGCATCATGGTTAGCCCTTGCAGTTAGTAGTTGACTTGGATAGTCGCTATAGTTGATTTAGGTTCATTACGATTTATAAGCAATTGTGTTCCTAGCTAATTAGTGGAACTTTGACAAGTTTGTCAATTAAGTACTCAAATTACCTCTCTCATGGTCTAGGCCCTTCACCACCTTATCGATGACTCAAGGCGATCCCTATAAATTTTATAATTCATTTTTAAAGAATGGCATAAATGATTCTTAGGGCTAGTTTGAGAGTAATTCTAGGAGTTATGCGGAGAAGCACTATATATAATCACTTTAAGCGATTTTAAGCGATTCTAGGGAAAATCACTTCACATGTGCTTCTCCATAAAATCACTTAAAACCACTTAATAAAGTGATACATAGAGAAGTGATTCTCCGTATAAATGAGTATTGACCTATCCAGAATCACTACCAAATGTGCTCTTAATTTTAGTACTGTGGTGTCATTATCAACAATTTTTCACCACTCGACGTCCCTCTATTGTTGATTTTGAATACCATACCCTTCTACTGATTAATCATCACGCCTATCTTGAAATTTAACATTGTAGTGGTTGAATTTAGTATACCGGCTACTAAATAATAGGGCACTCATGGACGCTTGTAATTTGGGAAACAAGAAAGGAAGAATATTTTGCACTTGTTTACAAATAGAAGTAAAATTTTACGCGTACAAGAAACACACATGTTACATAATAATTCTTTTATGTTTGACTTAAAACGACGGGCAGATATCTTTCATTGTTATTAACTTATTCATGGCATCTTAGCACCCACGAATATTGGTGTAAGAGTCATACCCACCCACCCATCTAAAATATGATTATACAGATATTTCATGCATCCAAACAAATAAATAAAACCATATTATTAAGTAAGTAAGAGCTCTTACATTCTTATCAATAGCAATGTGATATGTGTGTAGAAGTTTTTCTTTTCGTATTTTTAATGATTTATTATCAAACTGTGATTTGCATGAAGGAATAGTATCTTTTTACCAGTAAGAAAGCAAGTAGTGTCGGTTCATTAATTTCGAATTCAAAGTTTTCAAATCAGATCAAGTGCACTTGTTTTGTGTTTGTGCGTACTCGATGGTGTATGCATGCATTATTACTTACAAATAATCTTATACAAATATGTGTCTTGCATTATATATGTGATCAAAATTAAAATATATCATTAAAAAATTATTACATTATATATATGTATATAGGGTTTAGGGTTTATGTAAGCTCTATGTATATACACCATTAGGTTTATTAAAAATTGATACCTCAATCTTTTCCGACTAAGGCTATTATAAAGTTTGTTGTTTTACATGATTTTGAGCCCCTTCTTCTTCACATGTGAATGAGGGCACGTGGATCACCTGCAAAAGTTAACCAGAAAAAAATATAGATGTATGTTAATGGAAGTTGCGTAAGCTTGGCCTGCAAACTTTGGTTGTTTTGGGAAATGTAGGTGGCGTGGACCCTCTGAGTTTTGGCCTGGGTAGACTCCGGCCTTCACTATGTCATTATATATAGGGGAATGGCCTGCCCTCCCTTGTGCTTTAAGGCCCCCCGTTTGCTTAGCTAATTGTTGAATCCCATATGCACCAAAATTTGGCCATGTGTGTTGCACTAACTCCGCACCACCCTCTCGTACTTCAACAATGTGTTCACTACCTAAGTTCTTTTGCAATTACCTTAATTATTCCATTCATTTATATTAAGAAACCACATCTATAGATAGTACAATGCAAGTTTTATGTTATTTTTATTCGTCAATCAATCAATTAATGCAAATGCTTAAGTTGTATGGCTTAGTTCTTGAATTTAGGCTAAAGGTGTCTACATAGATGCACTGCCGATCAATAGACTGATACAAACTTATGTTCATTTCATCCGGTCGATCAATCAATATAAACATAAAAACTTGAATTTAAGACTTAATTTTCTTAAAATTTGGATAACCTACGATAAATCTGTAGACGAGTAGCTCATAACTTAATAAATTACATACATTCCAACTTAAAAATCCATGTTATGTATATCACTTACCCATATGGATAGGTAGGTATAATTTAGTACAGTTGGAAAACATATCCCAATTTAAAGATTTTATTAGAGAATAACTTCACGCATATCTATGTTCATGAAGCACAAAGATGGAAGATCGTGTAAGTTCAACTGAGATTTAGTGGGTCCAGAACAAAATCTTGCAAGCTACTATGAAGGGAGGCCTGGCCAAATCGGACGGTTGGAATCATCCTATGAGTTCACATTGATAAAAACATATTCACTTTGACCATGTATTAATATTATATGCATATATGGAGGGGGAGGAGGTTTTGAAAGTGATGTGTAAATGTCTTGTGTTGTGTATGACAAAGTCATCGTCCAAGTTGCTCTTAAATTCCTTTTTGCTGACGTGTGGCGCACTATCCACATGCGGTCCACGTCAACATGGGGACCCACTCACGTGACATCATCTTCATCATCCTAGGTTAGGCGTATGCCGGGTCGGGTTGGGACGAATTTTCTGATCTTTTGATCAGATGGACGGCTCTTATTGAATCTGTGATTGGGATTCTTTTCTTCCTTGGTAGGGTTTTGGACATGATGGATGGGCATGCGCATGTATGACGTGGGTCCCACCCTACAACGCTCCACCACCGCCCAAAATTTTTAGACGAGATTTGAATGGCTGGCCATGGCTCTTGTGCTTTTGGCTTCAACATCACCGCACACGTGGCAGCATGTCATGGATTTGTTGTTGTTTGTTTTTTTCTGGGGTGTGGGGCCTGCCTTTTGAAGATGCGCCCACATCTGACGGCTTCTATTCGCGGCCGATTTTGCTAACGGTACTGATATGGTACAGTTGCTTGTAGTCTACTGCAACTCTATACAGTAATAGCCACGTATATTTGTAGAGGAAAAAGTGTAGACTACTGCACTTAAAACTTATTAAAGTTTAATCTAGTTATTAATGGAAATGTTTTTATATAAATTAATAAATAAAAAAAGAATAAATAGTTCTCAGAGTTGTTCAAACAAAAAGGTCCCTTGTTTACCTAACACTTTCAGAAGTGATGAAAATGTCTTTAGACTTCAAATGGTAAGGGACAACCGTGCAAGTACAAATAATATTTTTCATACAATTTACGGATAATTTGTTGACAGAGTAGGACAAATTGTCATTACTTTTGAGGTTTAGACTTCAATTTACTAAGTTAATTAAGTTATTTTTTTTAACGCATTACTCAAACCAAAGGGTCTTTCCCACGTGTCTATGTTAAGAGCTTATAGAATTAAATGAAAACAAATAAAACACTATCACGTTAATTCGAGAAATTCCTTAGTTCAGCAGGTGACGTATTAATAAAACCAATAGGTGTTTTCCATAGCCTATAGAACTATACTAAAAAAAATGAAATACCAATTAATGTGTTTAGTATTTGAGAAATTCTTTAGTTTAGCAGGTGAAGTATGTCATATGTCCGACCACACACAAACAAGGAACTCATGCATTAAGATGGGACGTATGAAGCATAAATACAAAGAAGTCTCCTTGTGTTACGTGTGTGGTTAAACTTAGATTCACCTGGAAAATTAAGGAATTTCTAATTAGTACTGCTCAAAGGGATTTTAAGTAGAATTTGGTGGGGGCCATTGTGGAAATATGATTAGGTATTCTAATAATGTCATACCAGATGTGTTCAGAAAGAAAAGAAATATATATCACATGGTCCTACATGATTGATGAATCGAGAGGCAGAGAGGGTCCCATTTTCATCAATCAAGGCCATGATGACAAGGAAGAGCCCAGCCAATCAGGGCCGTTCAAGTTCAATCATTCAGCTTCAATTCAAGTTAGATGTCAGTGGCTCAGTGCATCGTCCACGTGTCGCTCGTATACTTAACCAACACAGGACCTTTGGAATCTTAAGTGACAAGTGAAACAACTGCTGAGTCTGCTATGCATAATAATGCATGTGCGGGGTTAAGGGAATGTTTGGTACTTGGGTTTGGTTGAGTTTCCAAAATACATTTTTTTTTTGGCTTTTGGATTTAGCAACATTTGATAGAACTAATTTCTGGCTAATTGATGTGCTTAAAATATGGTTATCATCATCATCCTTCACTTTTCTTTTTGCATTAAACTATGAGATCGCGAATGATCTGCAACATAATATAAATATATATGCTTTGAATACAAGAGATTATTTTGTAATCGTTTATTTTCAAATGATAATGATTTATGATCAGTGCTATTCTGAGTTCAATGTCATGAAAAGATTTTGTAGACGTACGTGTGTCATACTTTGGACTGATTCACTTCAGCCGGAGAGATAGAGCAACATGAAGTAGTCTATTTCACTCCAACATTAATACTTATTATTTTTACTTTTTAGAATTCAACAACTGTCTGTCGTTGATGACATTTACTTAGTGCATGCGTGTTGCTAAACTAATTAACCTAGTCAGAAACTCATCCTAATTCCTAAGACTTTCAATGAAATGTATTGGTAGCAACGCAACGCGTAGTGCTCGTTTATAGTCAAATGCAACAACAAATTTCACTTTCAAAAATAGGACCAAAACATCATTATACTCAAAATTGAAGTAGTTGAATGTAGGGATTTCATTGAATGGTTCTTTAATTCAAGTGTACATTCATCTCCTGCATTAATGTCAAATAGTAGAACAAGCATGATGTTACACACTCATTTTTGGAAAGAGATGGGGTTTTGTCAAGTCGGCATTCAGGAGAATATGTAAAACCTCTAAACCAGTAGTTATGTAGTCAAGTCGCTTTTCATACCTGCATTTTCTGCATAATGCCATCAAATTTGGCATCAAATTTATTACAAATCTATCAGAGAAGGCTTTTATTATGACTAGCAGTATAAACAAAGGAAATATCAAAGTTACATAAAGTTGTAAAAAAATTCAAACAAGCAATTCAAAAGTTAAGTAAAGACAGTGTAAGCCTGGTGTCTATATAAAGAAAAAGTCTTAACATGATTAAATTTGTCACTGAGCTACTTGATTCTAGCTAATTAACCATCTGCTATGGGCCCATGTGGCAAGTAGCACTAGCAACAGGCCTTTGCCGTATTCATTCATGCCATGGAATGAATGCTGCTGAGTCATTTTGGATGCTTCATGCATAAAGGGTTTTTACATTATGATATTGAAATTATTGGAGTCTGCTGCTGGTTGTCTCTCAAGTAAAGTGATGTGTATGCTCAATAGTTAGCTTAGCTAGCTAGCTATTCATCAGCAAACCCAAATCAACTTGAGCATGTATGTGACATCTACCTTGTCCATTTTCTGAACAATGCATGCTAACAAACATTGTTTATCTTTTAACAGAAAAAGCAGCTTACAAATAAGAAGAACTGGGGTTAAGATGATTGAATGAAATGAGAGAAATCTGACTTGGCCTTTTTTTCTTTTTTTTTCTTGTCAGAAAAGAGAAAAGCCACCACCAAGAGATGTATATATATATATATATATATATATATCTCTGTACAGTACATCCAAAGCTACCCACAAGGCACAAAGTCTCATTTTAAATTGTGCAAGACCATCATATTAAATTACTAAATCTGCAGACAAATATTCCTTCTCGGATGTCTAGAATAAAATACTTAAAAATGAAAAGAATATTACTACTATTATAAAATTACACAAAGCAACCTCTCTCTCTCTCTCTCTCTCTCTCTCTCTCTCTCATACACCCAACACATAAAGCAAGGGCCATACATACACAGAACGTCCACACACAAACCCTCTCACAAACATTCTTTCTTTTTTGTTTTCCAGCTTTTGTAACCAGTTTCAAGAAAAGTGAATTTTCTCTCTTTTTGAGGATAACAGTTTTCTTCTTGCTTGCTAGCTCCTCTTGTACTCCAGTTTTTTGCAGCCATGGATACTGCTCAGTGGCCACAGGTATATAGATATAGATTTTCATTTTTCTATCATCAACCCTTTTTTCTTCTTCTCTCTTTCCATGAATAATTTAGACAAGAAGCTTATTTATTGTATGCGATCTTTTTGTTCTTTAAATGAATGGCCCTTTTGGGTTCTCATTTGTAAAGATGATGGTGTGATCAGTGCAAGTCCCCACTCAGTTGGATTTAGTTTTTATCAGTTCTTCAACATGGTGTTTCACTTTACCTTTTGTTTAGGTGATAAAGGAAAAAAGACCCCAATTTTCTTTTGTTTTTGTTTCTCTCCTTTTTCTTCTGTTGCCTGCTATAATTTTGAAAAAGTGTAAAGCAGCTGCTCTCTTGTTTTGTTTTGCTTGTCCTTCTGCTCCATCTTCGTTAAATTTACAGTATTCTCCACTGGTACTAGGTGATTATTCATTTTCTTTTGTTTGATCTGAAATCCTTTCCCTTTCTTGGCTTTTTAAAGGGAATTGTGGTGAAACCAATAGAAGAGATAGTGACAAATACATGCCCTAAGCCTGCAGCAGCAGCAGCAGTCAATAATTCAGAGAGGAAGGCAAGACCTCAGAAAGAACAAGCCCTAAACTGTCCAAGGTGCAACTCAACCAACACCAAATTCTGTTACTACAACAACTACAGCCTCACACAGCCCAGGTACTTCTGCAAGACTTGTAGAAGGTACTGGACTGAAGGTGGGTCCCTCAGAAACATCCCAGTTGGGGGGGGTTCAAGGAAGAACAAGAGATCATCATCTTCTTCAGCAGTCGCTAATTCTTCTACAACAACATCTTCTACTTCTTCAGCATCCAAGAGGCTTCCTGATCTGATACAACCCCAAAACCCAAAGATTAATCAAGGCCAAGATCTAAACCTGACTTTTCCAGCCACTAATCAAGATTTCAGGAATATTATATCTGACCATTTGGTTCATCATCATCAACAACATCATCAATTGCCCAACAACAACAACAACATGGAAAACAGCAACAAGCAGAACCACATTAATATTTCTGCTTCTTCCCCATCTTCTACCACCACCACCACCACATCTCACCTCTCAGCTTTGGAGCTTCTCACTGGATTGACTTCAAGGGGTTTGAATTCCTTCATGCCTATGCCAGTTCCAGACCCCAACCACAACAACAACACTGTATATAGCACCACATCTGGGTTCCCTATGCAGGATTTCAAGCCAACACTTAATTTTTCCCTGGATGGGCTTGGAAGTGGATATGGGAGTCTGCAAGGTGTTCAAGAGAGCAGTGGGAGGCTTTTGTTCCCATTTGAAGATTTGAAGCAAGTTTCAAGCACTGGAGGAGGGATTGAGCAGAACAAGGAGCATGGAGACTCAACTGGGTATTGGACAGGAATGTTAGGAGGAGGATCATGGTAATTAAAATAAGAAGATGAAAAGGAAAAAAAAAATCATGGGGTCTTTTTCTTTTTTCTTCTTCTTTAATTCTGATTTAAAACTCATTGTTAATCTCTCATGGTGGGTGACTTGTTTGGATTTCTTCATAACTAACAGAATAGGATACATGGGTTTTCTTTTAATTACGACCTTGCCTTCTCTTTGTTCTTTTTGGCTTGGAATTATCTTTTCTCTTTGAAGTAGTACATGGTGGATTATTTTTTGAAGCTTATTATTTTAGATTGGCTTCAAAAAATGGGTGACTTATTGTGAGGATAGAAGCTATGGTATCAAGACCAGCCCAGATTTTTTTAGGGTAGCAAAGAGTAGAAGAGGCATGCACTGTATGAATGCGCCCTTTATTTCATGTAATTTCTTCTCTCACTACTAGAAAGCAAAGGGCAGCCCGCTCCCACTGTAATGTGTGTGATCCTTGGTTGGCTTGGTTCAATAAACAATTATGTATAATGTGCAACTTAATTTGTAAGGATATATATCATGATGGATGAAATATTAGAGACTTGATTAATTAATTAAAGCTAATTAAGCTTACTTAATGTGGAGTTGCAGTGGATGTTTTGCATCTGCTATATCTTATGTTCTTTCAGCAGGATTTTAGTTTAAGGTCTTATTCAGAGCACATAGATTCTTCCAGCCATTACACAAAGATCTGTCCATGAAGAAGCAGCAAGTGGGAGAAGAAAAGCTAGCTAGAGATATATGCAGCCAGGTAAGAATCCTCTGATTCTTCCACATGACTTGGTAATAAAGTACTCTTCAAAAAAGCAGCTTCCCATGTTCAAATTAGAACCACTGAAACCTGCCTCAAACCAAAAGCTCACCTACTGACTATATCCAAACAGTCTTCATTTCCAGGAATGATCATTGCTTCCATGCCACCCCTCTTTTTTATTTTATTTTGTCGTAGCGAGAGATTGAGAAAAATCTGACAAACCCTTCTTTCCTTGGTCTTGATTGGGACCCACAAACATTCCCCTTGGCAAGTGTGCTAAAGGAAGAATAATACACCCCACTAAGTTGATCCATCTAGATCTGGACTCTTTTTTTTTCTTTTTTTTTTCAAATTTTATTTTATTTTATATATTTTGTGTTTTGGTTCCTCGCTGTAAGCCACTTGAGTATGCATAATAATAACCTAGCAAATTGTTAGATGTACACTATCATGGAGGTCTTTTTCCAGCCAAATTTTAACGGTTTATTTTATATAACTAGTTCAAATTCAACTTAGCTTTCTCCAAGGGCTGTTTGGGAATATCCCACAATATCAGATCACTTTGGTCGTCCTCCAAGTTGAAAATGACAATGAACGAGAATGAAACCTAGCTTCAAAATAATCTATTGGCCATTCAACCTACTTATAGTAAGAAGAAAAAAAAACCTGTTTTTGTTTTCATTTTTCCCGAAAAAAAAAGAGGTAGAGAAAAAGATGTAAACTGGATCTGAATGGTTGTTGCGGGATCTGTTTGTTGTGTTGTCTTTTGTCTTCTTCTTCTTGTGTTTTTGTGCTTAGGTTTTTTTCAACAAATAAAAGGTGACATGAAATTATCCCATACCTTTCTTCAGTTAAAAGTTAGAACCAGAAGAAAGTATCCTTTGTTTTCGGCAATGCGTGAAATTTCTGCCTGCCCTATAGATTCATCTTTTTCTTCATGCCAAATCTAATAGGAAACCTATAATCCCATGATCTCATAGGCTAATGTAGCCAGTCAGGTCAAACAGAATTATCACCATGTCGCTATATGGCACTTTTCAAGGAATTCAAAATTTCAACCTCATTGAGGAGAGAAGCTTATTTATAATAACGCGTGACTTGAGAGACACACAGGAATAGTGCATGTATCCGTTTCATGTAAATTTTTTCCCAATTGGTATTGAAAGAGTTGAAAGAGACAATGAGGAATAGTACATATACCTGTTTCATGCAAATTATCCTTGAATTGATATCGAAATAACACGTGAATTTCAATAGGGAGAGAATGAAAATTTGTTACAATTCGAGAAGCGGCAAGACAAATCACGTAGTGGTACGATAAAATGAACCGTTATGAGCAAAAAGAAGGCAAAAAATTGGGAGATTTTAAGATGAAATTTAGGTTTTCGGTCCAATAAGAGTTCATTTGAACCATTAATGTTCATGGCCACATTTTTCCTCTGAATATGAAATCCCAAATTCAAAATTCTCTTTCGAAATGTAGCGAAACACGTTAGAAGGACCCTCTGGGATGGGACTTGGGTTTAAAAGTTATAATGGAAAAGACAACAGTTATTTGTACCTAATTGTATGGAAAAAAAGTACACAATAGTCCGGAAATTTCAATTCAATAATCCCATTTTGGCCCAAACCATTTGAGTGGGTCAACCCAATAGCACCATACGGAGTTGCGGAGAACAGAACCAAGATGGAGACAGGTCGAGTTTCCATCTTCATAATGACCACAGTAAAAATACACCATAAAATTTTGCGAGAATCTAAATCATGTGGAAATAAAAAGGAAATTCTTCCATCTGGAAATAAATAACGAGGAATGAGCACTGAAATCCAGCAAAAATAGCTCTTACAAAGAGAATCAAATGCAGACGTTTTGCCAGTCATCTGGTATATATAACGGAGAGAAGGAGGGGGTAAAAATTTCACTTCATTCAAAAAAATAATACATTGTTTCCATTTTCAACATTTCAACAGGGATTTTAGCGTTACGTTCTGAGGCCAATATGATAAAGACCAAGAAAACTATAGTCAAACTTGATCTTTTAGAGATCAGTGATCAGCATTGATACCAAATATACGAACCTTGTGCATGTTTGGGAACTTGGCAACTACCAACACAAAAACTGCTAGGGTGTTAAAGATGAGATTTGGATTTTGATAGTCTGTTGTGTGAGAGGCTATCAAGTACCTGCCAAGGAAGGATGACGGGTAAGAAAAAGAGATTGAGGTAAGGAAATTCAGTACAGCGGCAGCACATGTCCACCAAAAAGCTAATTATATTCCGTCAATGTCTTACTGGAAGACTTATACACAATATCAAAATAAGTCTAACCAGCAAAAATTTGACACGAGTATAACAGCAATGTTGAAGCAAACTCAATGGTTGACCATATAAAGAAGTGCTCACCTAAGGGGCTTAAATTGAAGGACAAGTGAGGGACAATGTATTTAAGGGCAGCATTCACTTAGATGAACTATTGATTTCAGGAGTTGCATGGAGTCCAGCAATTACATACATTGTCACTCAATTTAAGTCCCTTAGGTGACAACTTCCAGAATAGTTACTTATATTTCACTAGGTAGTATAAGGGATCTATGTATGAGGACCATTGGAAAAATTCTATAATTTATGAGAGCAGAGCTATTCACGCTCCACCTACGCACTCCCCCACTGTTGTGGAGGAGTGAAAATCACAGCTACATGGTTGCTATTTGCATTCCCACAAAGGGTAGGGGATAGAAATATGGGAGTACAAATGATGGTCCCTCTAATGAATGCATTTCATGTTTGCATTCTCAAAATCCAATCTCAATCTGGAAGGCTTATAAAGCAAACTTAAAGTACTTACAGCACAACAGGCACGACAGTCAGAAATTTTCTGTTTCGAGTGAGTTGGTTGCCATTGTCTATCTGCTCCCACCAAGTAAGCGCATTGTAGATACCCTGATCATCTGCAAATGGCGTTCCCTTCTTCCAGTGAAAAAAGTGATAAGTAACCTGAAGGAAAACGTAAAGACAATGAGAAAAAAATGACAACAAGTACTAAAAGTGTCATCAATAAGACTACTAAGACATCTAGTCTACTATATGGGTCATAAAGTGGACAAAGAATATTAGAGAACTGATCAATCTCCAGAAAGACATCAACGTTTTACCTTTCACAAGAAAACACATAACAGGACACTTATTACATAAAATCAGCACCAGCTAAATAGACAGGAGCTTTAATTTCAACTCAACTTAAGGGTCGTTAGAACCACATAAGGCCCTCATCTACCAATACGAAGTGTGCTATTTCAATAACCCTGGGAAGCAAACTGTCTATCCATATTCCTCAACAAAAATCGAATAATCCATTTTCCATAATGATTCGAAAAATTTGCGCTTTAGAATCCACAAATTGATCCTTGCCAAACTAAATCTAACTTTCCTGATATTAAATAACTGAAACTGTGTGTCTAAAATTACATGATTAGTCCACACAATGAAGTCATAAAGTATTTTATATTTATTTCATTCTTCTTCCCTACATATGGAATCCAGTTCTTTTGGAGTTATAAATAATGGTTCTTTATGAGTTTACCGCATCTCCGCTACAAAACTCAACATGAAAGTTCCTTCTCATCCAGTTCCTTGCAAATTAAGGTGACTAAGAAGTACTATACATGTACTTACTGAAGAATATCCGGAATCAATAAATTCTTTTAACTCTCACCTAATCCATTAGAAATTTGTACATCTTTGATTGTGGTTTGATATTAGAGATGGTGTTATTACCACCCTACTAGAGGATTGAAAATCTTGCCCAGCTTTGTGTGGGATTAAGCAGGATGAGCAGGGACAAAACTACGCAATTTGATCCAAAATTTAAAAAATTTAAAACAGGATTACATATGGTGGTTGATTCTGCTAATGTTTTCACAATATTCATTCATGCTAGTGAGTTTTCCATCATCCACATCAAACCCTAATAATTCAGATTCAAAATTTCCAGCTAACTCGGAAACCTAATCCTCCAAATCAAACAAAAAATTTCCATACCCAGCACAACAATCATATATAACAAGAAACTAAGCAAATTAAGCTTCATCCATAAATAAGCAAATGAAAAAACAAAGACTGAAGAAAATAAGAGAGAGAATACGAGGAAATGGCAGAGGTGAACGATGGTCCAGGCCATGCCAGGCGAGCAAGAGAAGAGGCAGAGGACGACGAGCCACGAGAAGAAGACCGTGAGAATGTAGGTCGTCCAAACCCCAGGGTACGTGAACCATTCTGTGTTCCGATTCAGATCCGTCGTTCGAACCGCCGTCACATACATTTTCCGATTTCTTTTTTTTTCTTTTTTCGAATATTTTTTTTTGGATGAAACGAAATTGATCAGAGACTATGAGATGAAGATTAAGATCAACGACGATGATGATGGGAGTGAAAATGAGGAGGAGGAGAAGCTCATCATCACCAAAGAGAATCTCAGAAACAACCCGATTTTTTATTTTCGCGAAGTTGCCTTGCAGGAGAGATTGAGATTCGGAGATTTTGGGTTGGCGTGTTTTTTATTTTTTTATTAGGAAATTATAAAATTATAAAATCGGAGCGAATGAATATGATTGATGAATATTGACGGTCGGTGATGAAGTTGGTGCGAAAGGGACCCATCGACCCCACCACCTAATTGTCATGCATTTTCTTACCCCACCCAAAAATATGCTGACCCCACCTAGAACTAAGTTTTAGAATGAAATATCTCCTTTCTCTTTTGGATCAGAATTCAGAACAACAAATTTTAATTTTATAAAAATATATTATAAAGAAAGTGCAGCCGTTTTTAAAAAAAATATCCTCCATTTAAAAATTAAAAAAATATTTTATTAATGAGTTTTGAAAATATCCTTGAAAGAATTTATTTTTTATTTTATTCCCTTAAACCATTGAAAAATGAGAGAGGAAAAAAAAACCAAATAAGTATACAATAAACATGTGGAAATAAAATCATTTTATAATTAACCACAAATGGGAAACAAGTTACATAACATTAATTGTGATATTTTCATAAAAAATAAAAAAAAGGAAAAAAAACAGAACTTGTAATGCTTGGGAACTGCATGGAAATAAAGCTCAATTCTTTGAAAGGAGCTTAATTCTGTCAAATTACATGAATAACATCATGAACCGAATAATTTTACAACATATAAGAAGAAGTGAGCAAGCAAAAACTTTCAGAGGCTAACAGTGGCATTGCCAGCCCCATCCAAGCTCTCCACTAATCTTCTCTTTGCAGACTTTGTTCTGAAACACCAGACCTCAAAGGCCTCACTCAAGTCGGGATACCGAACCTGCTCGGCTCCCATCCAGTCTGCCAGAATGTCTGCTTGATCGTTCGACGGCAATGCCAGTACCAAGGTCACCATGGCCCCTTCTATGCTCTGGCACAAGTCTTCACTCATCTTGTACGGAAAACCTGTCTCCTCACTGCCCTTTGAATCCAGAAGGGGCTTCATCTTCCTTATGTAAGGAAGCCATGTCTTTAGTAATGTCAACCGGATTGGAGTTGGAAGAATCACATTGCCATAGCCAACTGCTTCCAGGACTTTAGCAGTAATTTCTATGAGCTTTATTTTCAAACCCCACACAAAAGAATCAAGTTTATTATTCTCAACCACCCCTAAAACATTACTGGAGCTTTCAGCCCAGTTGGAGACAAAATCCTTCATTAAATCCATCTTCCCAAGTATGTTACACATCCATTCAAGGTCAGATAAGCTGTGCAATATTTTCTCCTCTGCTCTCTCGGACACAAGGTCGGGCTCCAAAAGCAGGGAAGACAATTCCTTTTCAAATGATGAATAAATCTGGGATAGGCCCAATCTCAACACTGATTTTACTTCCTCATCGGCTGTGACCAACGGTGCATCCTCATCTTCTCCTAACATGAATTCAACTTGTTCTTGAGCAGACGTTTTAAGCTCGTTGCCAAATGGAGGACATGGTCCAGCAATGGATGTGGCGATGCGAACTGCTGAGACAAAAACATCTTTGGTGGCAGCTAAATCAACAGGTTGGATCCTAGCTAATATGGGCATAGCTATTGGACCCAATTTGGAAACTGCTTTTAGGATAAGTTCCTCTTCTTTGTCCTCCCAAGGAACAGCCTCCAAGTACTGGATGCAGCAGCATGCAATCTCTTCACACTGGAAAACAACGGCTAACTGAAGAATACCAACGGCAGATTTCACAGAGTCGAATGAATCCAAAATTGAGTCTGTTGGAAGATACAGAAGCCTCAACAGGTTGACATGGTGATCATAGTTAACCTCTGAGCAATAAATATCAATGCAACTATTAGAGTTATTAGAGCCTGGATGAGAAAGCCTATTGGCAAAGTACTTGCTCTTATTTATGAGAACAGAGGAATGGCTGCAGAACTGTTTCGGTATCCCTTCTCTATTCTTCAAGCATATAACAATGTCACTAGTATTCTTATCACCAAATCTACAAGGCTTGGTCTGTAAAGCTGTGTCCATGTGCGCCAACAAGGTTCATGCTTTGAACAATTGCAAGAGCAAACTTTCAAAGTGGTTTTCAACTGAAAATCAATATTTGGAATAGATAGTCAATCCACATAAATTCTAAACGACAGGAAAACAGATTTATAACTGGCAAACTTGGAACTGTTTGAACAAGAAAATTATCTATGAAACATCAAGAAAATGTATCGAGATCGAAAATTCGCAAAGTGAATTTGCAGTAACAACAGCTGATCTATGTGCATTGAATTATCTACATCACCAATTGACCACAATCAAACCCACCAGCAAGAAAGAAGATTATTGCAACTACAAAATAAACCTCAATTAAACAAAAAACCCAGGGTCATCTCAACAAAGCTCACAGAAAATTTACTTAAGCTAAACCCTTCATTCAAAGCAATTAACTAATCACTGATTGGATACTATAAGCTTGTGATGAAAATAGAGACCTAGAGACAAATTGAGAACTGAACCCCAAAAATGTTTCCAATAAAAAAGGAACAATTCTTGAATTCTCATACATAAAGATGACAAATTGATAAAAACCCATTCGGAATATAATATTCAAAGTTCCAATTTTTACTGTTGTCCTGAAATAAAGATTTATTTTTTGTTATTTTTCAAATTGGGAATTCTGAAAAACAAAACAAAAACAAACAACTCACCCCTAATTTTATCAACCGCAGCAATGGGTTCAAGCTTTTAACTGCAGAAAAACGGATCCGCAGTGATTCTGTGAATAGCCGAATCTGAATTTTGCTGCAATTTAGAAGGTTAAAAGAGCGCACAGGAAGCCCTCCATTTTAGGTTTCTTACAAGCTCTGAATTTGAGTTGAGCTTCAGCTGGAACAGTTGAGAAACAAGCTTTGGGGTGAAGGCCCAAAAGTATTAAATGACCAAGATGACCTTCTGTTTGATTTTAATTAGGATGGTGTTCTGCACAACAACACAGGGCACACAGAGCAAATTAATGTACAATCCAAAGGGCAATTGTTTGCAAGAAAACATGGGACGCAATTTGGTTCATTACCCTAAAATGGGAGCAAATGATTGGTAGAGACAGGGGTTATAAGAATCTGATTGGCTCTAAGAGCATTTCCAGCGGCTAAGGCTGGACTCGGGGGCTGGGTGGGTTTGGCCCAAAAAGTGGTTTCCAGCAACAAAAGCAAGCCCGGGCAGATGGTAGGACCCAGCAGACTGGGCTGGCCCAAGGGCAAAGCTGACATCAGCATGCTGCTACAGCGCCCTCATCCACGTGGCGTGTGTTGGGCTATCCGATCAGATTTTTTCCAGCAATACAACGGTAGCCAATTTTTGTGCAATTAAAAAAATAAAAAATAAAAACCAAAAAATTAATGAATTTTTTTTCTCTATACTTTATTTCCATTTCCATTTTCAACATTTAAATAAATATCTTTGTCCTTTTACTTTTATTTATTTTTATATTACTCCATTTACTTAAATTTACAATGTAAATAAGGAAGTACCCTCCATTTGAATTCAAATAAAAATACTAGAAAATCAAATTCCCACCAAATCAAAATATGAAAAATCGGTTTTAGTGCAAAATACAATTTAGGCTAAAAATGATGGCTCATTAAGTCAATATATACTTCATATTAAAATCCCATAAAATCAAGTTTTCTTCTTTGATGTGTAAGGAATAAAAGCCGCCAAAAATTATCTTGAGGAAATGATTATTCCGAAAAACCATTTTTCATACTTAGTCAATATTGCACCTCCGCTAAAAAAATTATAGGTCTGCCAATGTCTATAAATACCAACCAATACTCTTCACTTTTAACACCAAATCCTCATACTTTTTCTTTTTTCTATAAATACCAACCAATACAACTAATAAAATAAAATCTTATCTGAAAATATTATCCAAATTAATTGTTTAGGTAAAAAACAGTTGTGAAAAAAAGAAAAAAAAGAATAGTATTTGCCATGGCAAAGGGCAACTGCTGGAAACACACATTGTTTTTTGCATTTTGCAATGTATCTGAAATTTGAAATTTGAAATTTATCTTAAATTTGAAACCAAAAATCTTATCCGATATAAATAGTATTGACACGTAGGAACCCAAAAATATTATCCAAATTTATTGTTTAAGTAAAAAAAAATTGTGGAAAAAAACAAAAAAATGAATAGTATTTGCCATGGCAAGGGCAACTAGTGGAAACAAATATTGTTTTTTGCAAGGGCAGCCACTATTCACGTGAATAGTAGCTGCCTTAGCCCCCCCTTGCCATGGTAAGGGGCAAACTGCTGGAAGTGCTCTAAGCAGTAACTTGGCAATTTTGCATACCCACTTGCTCCTCGCTATTCTATCTTATATTTAACTTTCTTTTTAATTAAGTGACTGATTTTTCAGGGCTCATTTACCCTCGGGAAAATTCTTTCAACCACTTCTCTCAAATCCTAGCATTGTGCACCATTTAAAAAAAAATTATACTAGAGATATTAAGAGGGAGAATCGAACAGAGAACTTCAGATGTAAGCCTGTATTATAGTAAATTTGGCTTACATCCTTCAAATTCAATTTGTCGTACCTAAAACCCTTCACTTTTTGTTCCTATAAATAATACCCAATTTATATAAGTAAAAACCCATTACTAGGATCCAACTCAGCAAGTTACCTAATTAATCATAAAATCTAATTTATTGTACTTTTCAGATTCCAAAAATACCCCCAACTAAACCATTATTGCATTTTGTATATTAATGTAGGAATCAATATGGAAACAGTTTTTAATTAGATTGTATATAATGACATATGTTGAATTTGGAAAGATCTCCAAATGGTTGTAATGGATGTAGGAATTAATTTTGAAACATTTTAAAAAAAATTTAACATAAATTCAAATTTAGGTAATCGGTTTGTTTAATAAAATGTTTATGTTATTTTCTTTTTATGAATTATACATGACTAATAATCCACTTTATAATTGTTTATGAATAAAACTGTACATACTAATTATGTTGACAAAATAATGTACCTATTACTTGTTTGTTTTATGAAAAACATAATTTATCTAGTATGAAAAGTGTACATAATTATCTATTCCAAATAATGTACGTATATAGATTTACAGGTATATTGTAAAATAATTTACTTGTAGGTAAATAATGTATCTATATTTTATATAAATTATTGTGTACCTATTTTTAATTATGAAAAATATACGCAATTACAAAGTAACTGACTTTGTTTTTTTTTTTTTGGTAAATAATATACCTATATTTTATATGTATATATTTATATTATATTGTTCATAGGTACATTATTGGATGCGTAATTTATAGATTTTTTGTTTGTTTGTAATTTTAGGGGGCGAGATGTGAGAGGGAATGAAAACAAAAAGAAATGGGGTGATTGATATGCTATTAATAGTGAGTATATTAATTACAATTATGACAGTTAATGAAATGCTTGAAATAAATTATAAATAAAATATGAAGTTTAGTGGCAATGATGTAAAAACATAGAAATACTACGACCTCTTATATCCTACTTGTCATTTAAATTTGAAATTGGGTTTTACTCATAGATTTATAGAGTGATGGGTATATGTTTAGGAAATAGAAAATGTAGGGATCTATATTGGACAAGCCATAAGTATTATTTGAACTACAAGTCTTTTGTCTAACATTACACACCAGTACAAAAGGGAATAAAAAAAGAACACAATGAATACATTTTTAGATTTAGGTAGAATCATTGGATTATTATATGTATTTACATACAAACTTTTAATTCCTTAAGTATTTGAGGGCGGATGATTTTATTTTCTTTCTAGGGAAATGACAATCTGTATACTAATATAGAAACCAGAAATATGGTTAACAAAGGGAACAAGTTTATGCCCCAAAAGCATGCTCAAAAAGGAAGAAAATGAGATAATACAATCCAAATCTCCACAATTAAGGCCCAAGGCTCAATTGTCCTGGTCGAAATTGACTATGTTGTTAGCCATTGATCTACCAAACCTTTCAATTGCAAATTGCTAACCAAACTATGAAGTTCATAATTTTGTGTGTGCTTTGATTTCCACTCTTCTTAACAAATCGTGTTCTTAACACTAAAAAAAGTTAATTAAGAACTTCGAACATGCGTCAAGCACATGATAGGCTAGTAAACAATATTTAAAGAGAGCTAGGATAATATCTATTTATTTTGTGATAATAATCATCCATGCATGCCCTCACAAAAGATTTCATCAGTGCTAACAAATTGTGCATGGAATAGGATATGTTAGCCGCACACATCCTTCTTGTATAGATGTCCTGGGCTCGTACAAGACATGTGAGTATGAATAACCTTCGAAGGATGATTTGCACACTTCTAACAATATCATAATTAGGGCGGACTGGTGTTGATCCTAGTTTAACCATCTCCGATGGTTAAGTCAGAAACCAACTTGGGTTAAAGGGAGAATGGATGTAGGGTTTTTACAATAAAAAGAGTTATTACCTATGTCTAGAGATAGGTGATGAGTATTTATAGGGGGGAAGGAGGACCTAAGATATTTTACAGAAGAGATCTTTCTTCCTATCCCCCTGAGTTGAGTTGTACATTTATTGCTCTACTTTTGACCATCCTACTCCCTGTCAAAAACTATGTGACAAAGTGACAGGTGGACCTGGATGAGAGGTGGATTAAATGATCCCTTCACATCACCAACCTGTTTATTCAGAGACCAAAGCGTAAGGCAACACATGTTTTAATGATGGGATGTTTGTCAGGACCGACCTTTAAGGCTTCATTAAATGCACCTTTTAGTTGGCCATGGTGCCTTAGTAGTCGGGTCAGTCCTGCCTAACCGACCATAGGTCTCTAACCCCCGAATAACCGTGCTTCTTTCACAAAGTTTCTACTTTCTGAGACGGGGTATTTTGTATATGCTCGGCTTGGTATTTCATATGAAGGTGAGCATCTCACGTCAAATGGTTCTTTTTGAGGGGCTCGGCTCACAATGATGGTATGAGCCATCAACATGATAGATGTCTTTATTGAATTTTAAGTGCACCTTAATCTGGTTCTAATGTCCCAAATATCTTATTAATGGGAATCTTTATTGCATTGTAATTTCTTTTTTTCTTATTAACAGGAAAGATGTTATTGGATCTTGAAATCTCTTCCGATATTGAGAAGAGAAATACCACTACAATACCATTTTGAATGAGACTCAACATTAAACGTAAAGGGATCTTCCCATATTTAATGAAAAATCTACCTAACCTTTCAAATTAAAGGTCATACCATGCAAAAGCCAATGCTAGTTATGAGGTTGATACTTGCATTTAATTAGAGGTCTCTTGTTGGAGATTATGTTATAGTAGATTAATTAATGCCAGTCCTCCCTCTATATATAACCAAACTGCTCTGCTAAAGATCTGAGTCAACCTGATAAGAAAGTAGTCATGGCATCATTCAAGCTTCAGCATTTGCTTGCTGTTCTTCTCATCTTCCTCCACCTCTCTTTTCATTCCATTGCAGACCCCCATGGCATGTCCCTCTCCTCCTCCCTTGAGCGCTGCCCTTTATGTGCTAGGGAATGCGAGGCCGCATGGGATTGTGGCTCTGTGTGTAGAGACATGGGGATATTAAGCCCTAATGCCGTGTGATGTGTTCCCAACCCAGCTGGTGGAAAGAGTTGTTGTTGTTTTCCGCTTACTCAGCCCAATTAGCCTCCTACCATAATCACCTCCTTTTATTTGTCATGAAAATAATGATTTCTTCTTTTGTTTTGACCTTGATTTTTTTAATAAATATAAGGTCAGTATTTCTCTCGGGACATCAATTTATGTATGAGCTCAACCAAAAGTATTGAATTTGCATGAATGTACTACCTTGCAAAATATTATTCAATACGACGTGGACTTCAATGCACGGCCGTCTCTGAGATTTTAGGAGTCCTATACAATCTCACAAGTTGCTCCTCTTTAGAGTCGGCTTTATTCTAGTGAAAACCTAGTAAGATCAACTATCGTTCGATAAACTCGACATCATGAGTTCAATTAGAGCCTCACACACTGCGCCGGATAGAATTGCTCATTTTCGTAGTTGTTATGTTTACCGACTCGTGGCTTTGCAACTATGGGCCTTGAAAATTTACTTGTAGGATTGGGTGTCCATAGAATTTTTCAAAGCTACACCTCAATCCACTAGTTTATGGGCTATTGTTATCAAACACAATTTTACTATGTCCAATAAAAATCATGGCCTTAGCCCATTTCGCAGCTACCCAGAAGAAGAAGAAGAAGATTTCACACGTGCGAAGCAGAAGTACAAGACACGTATTAAATGAAGCTGTAAAAAGACAAAACCAGACACCCCCAACAGAAAAAGCTGAAGTTGATTACGTCTATCACCATCATCATACCTGACAGGGTCATCATTCCTCCCAGCATGTCACATGACGTGGCATCTACAGGTCCCGCGGGGCCACATCCTCTCTCTATCTCTCCTAGGCAAAGCTATATTGTGGTCCCCAGCAGCCCAGCAGCGAGACCCCCTCGCGCCCCAGACCACACTGACTGACTAATCAGAGTGCAAAGATAGGAAAAAGCATCTGAACCGTCCGGCTACGTGTTCCCCTTATCACCGGCAATTGGCCCTCAAAATAACCGCCGTCTGATTGACGCGTCCATCAATATCATCAGCCGGCCACGTGTCTTCCCCTTGAGTGAGAGAATCATGTGTTTTTCGATGCCAAAGTGAAATGGTCCATGCATCTAGAGGCTTTTTTAGTGGCTGATTGAAACCCAGTAGTACCACAAGTGAAAATGCCACACATATGCAGCTATTTTACTTGGCCTTTACGAGTTTACTTGGTCCATATGCCATCGTTATTAAGTTTCGTGAAAGACTGTGAACCGTTCATTTCAATGAATGCATTATTATACTTCGTGAATCGTTAATTCTGATGAACACAAAATCAAAAGACTAACTAATCACTAAGACGACTAGAACTAGTCTTCGTTATTCTTATTACTAATCATCACAATAATTACACTAGGGCTCTAATCAAGAACTTGATAAGTCCCATGAATAGAATAATTTTATTTTTCTTTCGGACTGTTCTCCACCCTCCAATATAGAACTTTCAAATTCCAAGTCTTATAATGAGCCTAGTTTGAAATTCATAGCCACTTTCATGTGAAACCCATTATCCCCCAGTGTAATTAAATTATGATATATGGTTTTACTGTTCTATTTTCATAGCCCACAGCCGTATAATAATAATAATTAGCACTCATATATTAATAATCTTATCCGGCAGCAATCATAATATTATTAATGAATAAAATACAAATTGCTAGAAATGCATATGGCTTTGGGCCAAAGGCACAAAGGTGGTTTTGTAGACATTCTCTGGTGAAAAACAGTAGTGTAGTTTGAGATTGGAGTGAAAAAAATGATTGTCGGATTGGTGTTTTGGGTAAGCGGGTAAAAGGAGAGCTATAAAAATCCAAGGGCCAAGAGAGCTTTTGTTTGTTTGTTTGATTCGATCAAAGGGTGGGGTCCATGTTTTTGGGGGGACCTGCTGTGGGGGTGTAGCTGGACCTCCCTTTTTGCTTGCAGTTGCAGGGAGAGGAAGAGGGAGGAGAGAAAGGGAGAGAGACCAGCTTCTTGATTGCATCAATATGATGATGATTGGGTCATTAGTGGTGGCTCAATGGGTTTTTAAGCTCTCGGGCTTTTGTTAATAAATGCAAAGGTAAATCCGATGCTAGCTCCTGTGGTGTGTGTGGGGGTTTGGACAGTAGTTTATACTGTTTACATTTGTCATACTCATATTAATCACCTTTCTAATTTCTATATTCTTCTACTTTTTTGAGACTTTAGTAATGTACTTATGTAAATTCACAGAAAAAAATAAAGTAAGCGCCGAGAGTTGAACTCTAAATATAAAAGTCTTTTCTCAGATAAAAAAAGTATAAAAATCTTTCCATCATTAGTAAAATTCTTTGTATTAACATAGAACAGAAATTTTGAACGAGCAGTGCGAGATGACTATTCTGAAGTGTCAATAACAATTCCTTAATTTAAGTTGAAATATTGTAAGAATGAGATTATATCGTGTTTTACTCGTGTATTGTTTTTTTTAGATGTGAATACGTTACGGTTTAGAAAAATGTACCGTTGGTATTTGCTTAACTTATGAAATATCCTTACCCAAATAGGGTTTTACCGGTCAAACAATATTAGTAAACAGACATTAAATATTCATTATGTAAATCCCAAAATGCAAAAAGAAAGGAGAAAAAAAGGGTAATGACAAGGGAGCTAGCTATGCTACCGTATATAGTACACCAGTATTCTCCACCTCACTGAAGGCTGTGTAACCTACAGTTAGAGGGTCCATGATTTTATCGAAGCACATCATGCACTAACCCAAATGCAAACTGACCACAAAGTCCTTTTTGCTGTAATTTTAACTTTTACTGTTTTACAGCCCACAGTTTTATCTGCCTCTACGCTTTTGGTTGGCGGTTGCGTGAACAAAAGAATATAGAAAACCCAGACACCACAAATATATATAGCAATCATAATGCTGCCTTTCCCAACCTACCAAGACACATCAATGCAGCATTTGATATGGTCTCTCAACTTCTAGCTTCAAATCCGGTACCTCTCAACACGCATTTCCTCTGCGAAACCCTACATATGCCCATAACCTAACTACATGAAACGACATGTTGCCAGTTCTGTGCTTGTGAAATTGATTTGGATGGGATGTTTCTAGGGTTTCCGAAAACCAGAGAGATTTGCTCTCTGAGTTTTTGATTGACTTCATTTGGCATTGTATTCTCTTGTGATGGTAACGTGAGAGAGAGGCTATAAAGATTGCCCCATTTATTTATGTTGCACTTTTATTGGACACCATAAAGCTTATGTGGCAGCTCTCTCTCAATTGCTTTTGTCAGCTTAAAGCTTCCATTAAAGCACTGAGATTCCTTGTATGATTTGATTTCTCCCGAGAGGAAATCCAAGACAAGATTTCAACCAGGACAAAAAACCCTTCTTCCTTTTCTCACATGAGGTTGAACACAACAAAGAGGGGGGGATGATTGAACACTTTGTCTATATATTTAATTGTGTGTAAATTAGAACATGGTTAAAACCCAAAATGAAAACAAAACCTAATCAGATACCTGAAGAAAAAGAGAAGATCTGCTTTCACCTATAGCTTTTTCTAAAGGATCCAATTAGATCTTAAAAAAGTTTCAGCCTTTCTAAGAAGAGAATCTAGCATAAGTACATGTTATTATCTAAAATGATATCTCATTTATTTTAAGTATTCTTTAGTGAGTGCTACTAAACTACAATTAATATGGGTCAAACTTACAATTCAAAGCGAACTAGTGTGCTGTTCTCTGCAGCAGAGAATCATCCCGTAGTTGACTAAGTGGTAAAGAATGTTGATTGCTATTTCACTAGGCATTCAGAAACTTTTGCTGCTAGCTACTAATTAAGGTGTCAACTTAATAACAAATAAATCCAATAATTTTTATCAACCGGGTCTAGCTCAGTGGAAAAAGAACTTGTCTCTCCTGTAATTTAAACTATCGTACTTTAAAAAAAAAAAAAAAAAAAAAAAAAAAAAAAAAAATCCAATAATTCTAAATAGTTTGAATTTTGGGAAAATGGGGTTATATGATACTCAAGTTATTGCAAGATAGCTAGGATTGAAAAATAATGTCCATCTATTGCAGGAGCCTATGTATTGTTGAATTATTGTTGCAATTCATTATGCAAGTCAAAACTTGAGAAATTTTGAAATATATTGCAAACACATGTGCCACTGTTATTTATAAGAGAACATAAATTATGACTATGAATAATGATTTCTGTCCAGTAGCCCTTAACTAGGGCCCCCTGCCCTTTTTTTCATAGGACAAAGCATGTTTTCCCAAGAAAATAAAGCTTAAAACTGTAAAATCTTAGTATGACACAATAATTAAACACTTTAAGTAAGATCTAAATTGATCATAAATTTCATCATCATTTGGATCACAACCTTTAATTAACTTGATCCATACTGTCACCAACTCAATTAAGCAGGCTTGTTTGTTCTTTATAAACCAAAAGGGGGGAAGATAAAGAGAAAAACAGCCAACAATCCAAATCCTAGTGCTGGATGTTAATTCCTCTCCCTTTTCTCAGCAGAAAAAATAAAGATGTAAAAGCCAAACTTTTTATGCCGTTGACTTAAATTCTCAACGGCTATGATGAAGCGTGTGTTGTCTTGAGGAGACAAAATTATGGACTTTGCTTGATAAAGATCGAAGGGTGGTGATGCTAAGGGAAAATTGGAGCAACTTTGTGCCCTTGCAATCACTTGTGGGTCTCTTTCCCACCCCCTCCCTCTGACACACCCACCCACTAACACAACATTAGGGTTGCTAGCTAAGTATGGTTTAAAGCCAGAGACCTTATAATTGACAATGCTAACTAACATATCAACACCAAAATGAATATGTTGAAAAAAAAATACACCTAGTGGATGACTCTCAATCATGCAATGCTTTGTTTGAACCAAATTAAGGGGTAAATGACAAGAAGAAAAAGAGGAGAAAAACTTTGACTGTGATTTATTAGTTATAAGATAAGTGACAAA